GGGCCTCTCACTGTTGTGGCCTCTCCCATTGCAGAGCACAGGCTCCGGACGTGCAGGCCCAGCGGCCATGGCTCACAGGCCCAGCCACTCCGCGGCATGTGGGATCTTCCCGGACCGGGGCACCAACCCGTGTCCCCTGCATCGGCAGGCAGACTCTCAACCACTGCGCCACCAGGGAAGCCCAGCCCTCAGCTTTGACATTGGAGCCCTCAGCCTCTTACATTCTTCCTCTCCAGGGGCTACCTGAGGAGCCTGGCTCCTCCCCACAACTGGCAATCCCTGAACTCCTATCCCTTGTTCCTTCCACCCACCCTCACAAGGCGTGTCCATTGAGGCAGGTGCCCTAGACCCACTTACTCTGGGCACAGGCGTGGCTGCTGATCTTGCGGAAGCCAGTGGGGCAGGCACAGGTGTAGTTCTGTCCACTGGGCAGACACAGGTGGGTACAGCCTCCGTTGTTGTCTCCACAGCGGTTTTTCCCTGCTCAAAAAGCCCAGAGCAAGAAGGTCGGGTAAGACCAAAGGTTGGGAGGAGCGGTCCCAAGGCTAGTGAGTAGTGGTTTAGCAAGGGTATGAGTTCCCTCAAGGGAGGAACTACGCCTTATTATTTTTTATATCTGCCCCACCTGTGAGCAGAGTGAATACCTGACACACAGGAAATGTCTGCATGAATTAGATGGGGACAGTGAAATTGAAAGTCTTTCGTGAGTCTCAACGTTGTACTACCCTAAATGTCCAGCAGAGGGAGGGATTAGCCCACATCAGTGCTAATCTCAAATTTCCCCACGAGAAACAAAGGCAACTGTGACAGGTGCAAGGAAGGTTCTCAGAAGCATTGGAGGCCCACCAGGTGGGCGGTTTTTTACCTGCAGGCTGGCGCTGGGGGTGCAAGGTGTGGATGTCCATGGGGAAGTGCAGTTTGTTGCGAATGATCTCCTGGTTCTTGCCAGTAAACTTGTTAGCACTATTGATGCTCTTGGTGTGCCAGTCTGTCCAGTACAGGCTATCTTCAAACACGGTGATGGCAAAGGGATGCGGGAGGCCTGGGGGAAAGCCCAGGATGACCTCAGTCTAGACATGGCCTGCCTGGCCCCTGGGCCCAGGCCCAGCAACTGTACAAATCTCACCCTCTGCCAAGGCTCCTGGGGGCTGGGACAGTGGAAGTAGGATGAGAGATAAAGGAGAGTGAATGAAGGGAGGGCCTCACCCTGGCTAATGACAGCCTTGCGGTGACTCCCGTCCAGATTGGCCCTCTCGATGACGTGATGCTTAGCATCCACCCAGTACATACGACGCCCGGCATAATCAATGGTGAGGCCGTTGGGCCAGAAGAGATGGGTATCGGCAATGATGCGGCGTCCAGAGCCATCCATGCTGGAGGCCTCGATGCGGGGGGTGTTGCCCCAGTCTGTCCAGTAAATGGTACTGGGAATAGAGAAAAGGACATTGCGAGGAAGGCAGTAGAGGGTGGGTAAGTACCCAGGACAGTAATCAGGCAGGCGGCTTTTATTGGTTTAAACCAGGTGACTCCAACTGTTAGGAGACACATTGTTTGGTCTGCAGAGCATTTTTTCAATATTTGAATTTAAATGTCTCTAGACAGGGCATGTATTCATTTAACAAAAAAAATTTTGGAGTACCTGCTACGAGCAGGGCATATCTATCTTGGGTATTGGGAGTGCAGCAGTGAACAAAACAGACAAAAATCCTGACCTTGTAGAACTGACAATATACTAGTGTGATATGACTTAGGACAAGCACTTTCTTCTTTGTCACAATGTCTACCACCGCCTTTTGTAATTTCACACATGAGCGCGCATGCGCGCGCGTACGCGCGCGCGCGCGCGCACACACACACACACACACACACACACACACACACACACACACACACACACTCTGTGTTTCTAAAACAGCTGACCTGCAACTGTAGGATCTTAGAGGACACCCCCCTTGATTGACTGCACTTAAATTTTTCTTTTTAATATTTATTCATTTGGCTGCATGGGGTCTTCGTTGCGACACACGGGAGCCTTTGTTGTGGCACTCGTTCGGGCGCACGGGCTTCTCCCTAGTTGTGGTGTGCAGGTTTTCTCTTCTCTAGTGGTGGCGCACAGGCTCCAGGGCACATGGGCTCCAGAGCGCGTGGGCTCTGTAGTTTGTGGCACGTGGGCTCTCTAGTTGAAGCACGCAAGCTCAGTAGCTGTGGCGCGCGGGCTTGGCTGCCCCGCAGCACGTGGGATCTTAGTTCCCTGACCAGGGATCGAACCTGTGTCCCCTGCATTGGAAGGCGGATTATTTACCACTGGACCACCAGGCAAGTCCCTGCATTTAAGTTTTAAAAGCCAGAGGCTAAGAACTTCCACTTCAGGAGACCTTTCTTCTAATAATAAAATTATTAATTTTTATTTTATTTTATTTTATTTTTAAAGTAATGCCAGCTTCTTGCTATTCAACCTTGCCAGGTTTTTTTTAAATTTATTTTATTCTGATTTATTTATTTATTTATTTTTTGGTTGTGCCGGGTCTTAGTTGCGGCTCGCCAGCTCCTTTAGTTGCAGCACTTGCGCTTTTTTTTTAGTTGCAGCTGGTGGGCTCCTTAATTGTGGCAGGCAAACTCTTAGTTGCGGCATGCATGTGGGATCTAGTTCCCTGACCAGGGATGGAACCTGTGTCCCCTGCATTGGCAGGCAGATTCTCAACCACTGTGCCACCAGGGAAGCCCCCTATTAATTTTTATTAATTAGCTCAACCCTATGAACTAATAACAAAAATACTAAACATCTACCACTTATATAATGTGTTAGGCTATTTAAAATGCATCATCTCATTCAATCTTTAATCTTCACACAGCCGTGAGGTAGGTATATTTTCGATCACCAGTTTAGAAATGAGTAAAATGGAGGCAGAGAGAGATTAATTAGCCCAAGGCCATATAGCCAATTACTGAAGAGCTGTAAATCCAGGTGTGTCTGAGTGCACAGCCAAGGCTATTAACATCACCCTGTGAGGAAGCCCGCCCCCCACCCCACCCCCTACCAACAAAGTCTGGCCCAGGTGGTGGGGGGAACTGTCCCTGGAGGTTGCATGAGGAACCTGGGAGCTTGAGCCACAGCTCACTCACCCCTCCATGGGGTGCAAGGCAATGGCCCTGGGCTTCTCAAGGTTCTGCCATAGAAGCACCTTCCGGTGGGCCCCGTCCAGGTTAGCCACCTCAATCCTTGATGTCCCTGAGTCGGTCCAGTAGAGTTTGTCATGGACCCAATCCACAGCCAGGCCCCCTAGTGGAAAGAGGCCATGGAAAAATGTCAGCGGTTCAGCCCAGGCTCCTCTGTGCCATAGAAACAGGGGCAGCTCTTACACGAAGCCGTTTCTTGGGCCAGGTACTCTTCTAACCATGTTACACACACTAACTCGTTTAATCATCACAACAGTTGTGTGAGCTAGGTACTATAATGCCCATGAAGGTGAGGATATTGAGGCACAGAGAAGTCAAGTAACTGTCCAAGGTCATGCATTTCCTCCTCGCAGCCAATCACATACCACTTCACGAATCCTGGCTCCCTGACCCACACCCAGGGTCCCCGACTGCAGTGGCCCAGGGGTTTACAAATTGTGGCTCAGGGGTTCGCAGAGAAACATCAGAAGTCCCATAAGCATTTGAGTCAAATGTGCTCAATACCAAATTCTAACCCACTTCCCTTGCTTGTAGAATGGCCTGAGATTGCAAAGTGAGCTATTGTTTTTCTAATCTGCAAACATTTGGATATATTTATCTGGGTTGATCAGAATATTCCTAATACTAAGCAATCAAAACAAAAGTCAGAATTTAATTGGATGCAAGGCTGATAGAGGATTCTAACGGTCATCCACAAATCTCTGATTTCAGATGGTTACATTCATCAAAACGGTCTCATTACTCTTGCTGATTGAGCTCATGTTTGCTTTACAACCAGCAAACGTTATAAACCTGAACCTATAAAATGAATGTAGACTAATGAATGTTTTCCATATTAGAGTTCCATCCAAGATTTCACTGCGAGAAGAAGATGTTCCGCTGCCTAAGGTTTGTAGCCACTTGCCTGTTCCTTCCTCGATGGCTCTGCATGTGGTGTGGCCCTGCCCCTCCCCATGGGGCCTCGTTCCCTACCTGGGCTCTCGAGCCCTGTAGACACAACCTCTTCCACATTGCTGCCATTGAGGTTGGCGCGGAGGATCCGGTCCAGGGTGACATCGGACCAGAAGACAAGCTCACGCCGGTGGTGGAAGTCAAGGGCGATGGCATTCTCCAGGTTGTTGAGCAGCAGTGTGTACTCAGAGCGGTGCGGCAGCACCTGACGGATGTCGATGCGGTTGGCGAACAGTAGCACAGGCTCCGGCCCTGGGACGTGGCATAGAAATGGGGCCCCCGCCGGGCTCCAGAGCTGCCCCTGGCAACATCAGCGTGCACCCCCAGCTCCAGGGGGCCCCTAGCCCGCTAGGGCATGTCCCAAGCTGTTAGCATCAGTGCTAGAAGGGTGGGAGCCTGCAAAGTACACATCCCACCCCAGCGGGGTTTTGCTTGGGGCTCAGGATGCAATTCATAGCTCCATTTTACTGCGATGGAAACAGCTAACTCTCGGCAAATCTCCAAGCACCGGAGCACCTGGCTGCCAGGCTCAGTCCTCTGCCCACCCAGCCAAATGCCAACACCCCTTACCCAGAGCCTTGCAGCTGCGCCGGTCAGGCCGGAGTTCGTAGCCTGCTTCGCACCAGCACTGGAAAGCCCCCTCGCTGTTGGTGCAGCCCTGGCTACAGTACCCCTCCTCGGCACATTCATTCACATCTGTGAGGGCGGAACGTGGTCAGGAGATCTCTGTTCTGCCATCCTCCCACCCCAACTGCCCAGCTGATGAGCTGCTTCCCTGCCCACATACCCATCTACTTTCCAGGCCTAGTGGGAAGACTATATAACAAGCGGTCAAGGGCTTCGAGTTCACTCCGAGCTGGGCTGGAATCCCAACTCTGCTAACTCACCTCTCTGAGCTTCCGTTCCCCCACCTCTGAAATGGGAGGGATAACAATCCCTACCTCCCAGGGCTATTGCGATCATGATATGAGGTTACACCCATCAAATGCCTGACCCATCGGAAACACAGCTGCCTGGCCCTGCTCCCACCCAGGCCCCAGCTCACCCTGGCACGTGCGTCCATCCTCGATGAGCCGGTAGCCTGTGTGGCAGGTACACTGCACTGCCCCCCGCACCATCTGGCACTTCTGGGTGCAGCCACCATTGTTAACATTGCAGTTCTCCTCACCCGTCCTGGGCCCTGTGCCAGCCAAGCCAGAGATGGGAGTTGAGCCCAGAATCCTCCCCCAGACAGCCAACTTGGCATTCCACCTGGACCACGAAGAACAGCTCCTGAGGCTGCAGGAGTCACTGGGGAGGCTTCTCTTTGAAGCGTATGGGTGGGGCTCAGCCACAAACCACGGGTGGGCGCGCCCGGGGGGACACTCACGGCAGCACGGGTGGGCGCGCCCGGGGGGACACTCACGGCAGCTCTGCTGTGGGCTTTCGTCGCTGCTGTCCCCACAGTCATTGACCCCATTGCACAGCTTCCTCTGCCCGATACAGCGCCCATTCCAACACAGGAACTGGTCCGAGGCACAGTGGGGGCTTCCTGGAGAGGGAGGGAGGAAAATGGGGAAGGAGGGAGGGAGACCCAGGTCACATCAGGGCAGGGCTTGGGTCAGCAAAAGGATGGGAGCCTGTCATTTTCTAGGGTGAGCTGGAGACAGATGAGACTCAAGGTGGGAGGGTCGGGGTCCAAGGCAGGAAACAGCTCAGACAGGGCTGGCTGAATGTCTGCATGTGTTTTCTCCCCAGGACACCACAGTGGGATGGTGAGGGGTGTGGGACAGAATGAGAGAGCACATCCATGTGTCCAGCACCAGTGTGGCTAGGGGAGGGGGCATGGGGGCTGTCAGCCAGAGAGCAGTCCTTGCTCACGAGGCCAGAGTACCAGGCACCAGTCATGTGTGAGTCAGGATGTGAGAGGCCATTGAAACTCCCAGCCCTGATACTGTGTTCCAGGCCATGAGACTGCAGGTCAACAGATGCGCCTGGATTGACACTGGTAACTGAGAAGAGCAGGAAAAATCCAGGTCATGGGCAAGATCTGACTAAAGCATCACCTTGGCCCAACTGGAAAGGCAGCAGTAACACCCTCTTCCCACCCCTATCCTCCAATCCACCTATGGGTTAACGGGCCTGGGGTACCCCTGGGAGACTCTACCTGTATTCTCACAGTTCTCTTCATCGCTGTTGTCCGCACAGTCGTCCTCCCCATCACAACGCCAGGACAGACGGACGCAGCGGCCTGACCGACAGCGGAACTGTTCTGCCGTACATATCGAGGTGGCTGGGCAAAGCAAAGGTCTAATGAAAGCCGGGCCCCACTTCAGCCCAAAGCACCACGCTGACACCCCAAAATGCGCTTTATGCCAGCACCCACGCCACTCTTCTTGACACCAGTGTCACAGCTGGTCTATACGGCATCTCTGTGGGAATTGGAAAAAGGTGCCTTTTCCTCAAGACACTTTACTGCCATCTGCTGGAAACTGCCATGATGACTATATAAATCTATAGAATCATGGAAGATATGTCTACTGTGGGACTGGCATCCTTTGCACCTAGCACCTCTTGGCCATGCCCAACCTAC